CCGTCTATCCGCCCATTTCATAATACGGCCACTGCACCGTATCATGGTAACGCTTTATTATTGGCAGATCGAGGGTTACTCTGGGATTGAAGTGAAGGAGACGTAAAAGAACTTTCTGCGGTGGCCGAAATTTTTTGTTATATTTTTGCTCTTTCATTGTACTGAATCATTTTTTTAAGCTGTTGTGTTTTGAGGTTAACACAACAGACGATATTGTCTGGTCTCCCGGTGATGTTCTTTATGGGTATTTGGGGGCTTTGAACACGTTAAGGAATTTGGGGTCTAGTCTATTTATCGCAAGGGTGTTTTTCAAGATGTTCGTTTGATGATGCGGTGGTCCTCGGCGGCCCGGCGTGGAGAAGGTGGGGACGGGGGTGGCCTTATAACTCACGGCACCTTTCAGTTCCGGCTCGAATCATTTCAGTCCGTCAGTCAAGTCTATCGCTGGGACAGTCAGCCATTCAGTCAGCCTTAAGACTAGTCAGTCAGTTAACCAGCCAGTCAGTCACACAGTCTTTCAGTCAGTCACTCACTCACAGGAAAAATCCCGTGTGACTTGTCACGCAATCCTTCCTTTGGGTGGTTAATGTTGATTCGAGAAAAGACTGCGTGACATGTTAAAAGAAAAAAAAAACATCGCCCGATCCCAGTGCATGTTACTCTGATTGGAATCAGAACTCCGATGTACACACTAATGCTACTAGAATGCCTGCATACACGTACGTGTCCTACCCAAAAAGCGTTAAGTTGAAAAATATCAAAAATAAACACTGATCTTCATTTTACACTCTCTAAGATCTTGGTCCATAGTTTACAGTAAACATTGCAGTAGACCTTCTAATTCTAGATTTAGCCATTTTCCCTCTCATCTTCCCAAGAAAAACGGGCTCAGCTTAGCAGGATCCAGGAAATATTTTAGAGTCATCTTAGTTTGTTCCGAGATAAATCGAGTGACCGCGTTGAACTGGTCCTAGCTGTCAGATTTGTTTACATTGACAATTACATAATGTTTCAAATCAATCAACTCGCCGAACTACGTGCAGACATTTCGTTAAACATTGTTCCATCTGCCCATAAAGGAAATGTAGAAAGTCACGCCAGTTATATTTTGGATGCTTGGATGTTAACAACCACAAAAGCGTTCTCTAACTTTGGTAAGTAAAAGCTTGCAAACGTTTCGGTTAAACTAGTAAGAGAAATGTTTTAATGCAATTTGGTTCGGCAGTCTAATTGCCACAGTAAAGCTTGAAGTGCATGGATTTTATAGATTTAGAAATCTAAATTGCGTGCCACAGTAAAATACAGCTGAGTAAGTGAAAGCTGCGTGCTTTTTGAAATTAAATTTTCGACTACACGTCCATGTATACGAAAAATGCACAACAGATGAACGCGTTCCTACAAGT